ATAGATAGATAGATAGATAGATAGATAGATAGATAGATAGATAGATAGATAGATAGATAGATAGATAGATAGATAGATAGATAGATAGATAGATTTGTGGCCTTGCCATTATGTAGCCATAGGGCTTCAGAGCCCGTGTTGGGCTTCAATATCAGTGCGTACTCTGCGGACTGATATTTGCAAAAAATCTTACAAAACGATATCTTATCATTTCAAATTTCTACAATATTCAAGTTAGAGCTGCCATCAGCAGCAACGTTGGATCGTCGGTGGAATCACGAAAAGTACACCTACATTTTCACGTTGTACCTGCCCGCTAACAAACCAAAAGGTAATCTGCGTTTGATTTGGCCGAACAAAATCCTCAGTTGAAGTCGGAAAACGTTATAGCTTACTTTGAAAGTATTACAGCGCTGTGAAGCAAAGCAAAAATAAACCTAATTTACAAGAACACATTTTGATAATTAACATACATTCTTCCACTTTTTAAATCCACAGCCTATAGGGACAAAAACTCACTCACCATTACTGAAGCGGGAATGGCCACTTCTGTCATTGTGCAGGAAAGGACGCAATTGCGAAACTGATCCAAGATCGAGAGGTATGTTGTTTGCACAAAACTCCCCCAAATAGAGTTTTTAGCCTATTTCTGCCTTTGCTGTAGCCGCAGCTTCTGTCTTGACGGGAGATACATTCCATGCACAGCACAGGCAACGTGCAGATCTCTAGGAAAGACTTTTGATCCCGGTTGTCACAATCACAAACACAAGCACACACTCCAAACACATACACACGCGTAAAAAAAGGCCGACGGCTTTCCGACGGGCATAGGAATGCAGCAACAGCTGGAAGCAGAAGTGGATAAGGAACAAGGGGAGGGAGTCTCTCTCTCTCTTTCTCTCTCTCTCTCTCTCTCTCTCTCTCTCTCTCTCTCTCTCTCTCATTCACTCACTCACACAAGCTGAGTTTAATGTGCAGGTGTTAACAGACTACAGAAAAGTACACTTGACCTTTCATCAAATGGTTCAAGCCTCTGACAAAGAGAGGGGAGTGAAGGATTAAAAGAAAAAGAGAGAGCGCATTATTTCAGCCTTGGCAGCTGATAAGGATATCTAATGATTTTACAACATGCATGCATGCAGTCTCATTCACTCCTAATACTGAGAGTTTGTCTCTATGAAGAAAAGAAAAAACTTGGGGGATGTTAAACGTGGTAAATGGTTCATATATTAAAAAACATTTAGGCCGAACAATAAAGGAATATAATGGTATTTAGTGAATAACAAGCTTATTATATAAAGTCATATAGATATAGGGATTTATGTTAGGGTTGACCATGAATACCTGTCACTCATATAGTGTGACACTGTAAATATCCAGACTCAAATCCACTACACAAGCAGATCCATCTTGCATAGAAAAGTGATAAAGAACACTGAAGGTTTTCTGGAGGTTAAATTCCTGTTGAGGCATATTTCTCAGCGAAGTAAAGCTATTGTGGCTTTTATTTCCATTATTAATTGCAACAATATAGTTGCATAACCATAAAAAAGCCCATGGCATACCTCATGGATGCAGGTGTAGTAAAGAAAGAAATGTGAACGCCTCTTGTGTGCGCTTAATGGCAAAGAGTCCTTCTTTCCTCTCTGACAAAATATTGCTCGTAGTTCTCTGTGTAAATCCACTTCTAGATAATCTTTATTATTTGATCTACATATCTGGAACTGCAAATGTCTTATAGGCTGCTGTTTGCATAAGCTGTGTGCACCACTTGTAAACTTCAGCTACATGTCCAGTCATGCAGCTCTCTGAAGACATCACGAGGCACAAGAAGATGCCATCAGTTCTCGATCACACAAAAACAGTTTTACTTGGCAGGATTCTCTGCATTCGTTACAGTTCATAACAATGATTGCATGAAGCAACAACAGGAATGATCCAGAGCCATAATAAAACCTAAGTCATGCAGAATTTTGCTGAGGACAGAATGCACGAGGTATTCTTTTGGTTAGAAAACGATAAATATAGAAGTGAAAATGGTCCTCTGGTTTAGACTAAGGTCAAGGAAAGTTTGCTGACACACACACGCACGCACACACAAAAAGTCCATGCTGACATAGGACATTCATGGATCCTAGATTATCTTATCTCTCAGGCACTGAGTGGACCCCTTAATGGATAAACAGGAAGAGAACTTGTTCACCCAGTGTGCTCCACTTTCTCCACTGCTTCCTAGCATTCCACAACACCTGGTATGTATGACACTCTAACTGGCCAAAAGCACACTAAAGAATCGAAAATATCAGGTTTACTTTACATTAAATTAAGTTCATGGACTTTTTAAAACTTTTGTTGGTACCAGCTAATGCATCCATCAGTCCTGAATGAGAAAGAATTTAAAAAGGGAACAGCTAAGACCTTATCTGGGTAATACTGCCTGAAAATTGCTATTCCTTTTAGCTTTCTTTCTTCTCAAGTATTTCCAGAAGCTCTTAAGTGATTATGTTTGCATGGTTGCCTAGAAGCAATGAAAGCTTCTAAGCTTTCCCAGTGATATCATCCCAGAGCATGTGGGTTTCAGAAGGCCACCAAATGTTAGACGGCATTCCCGAATGGATTCCACAATTCTCATGTGACCTCAGGAGGTGCACCAGGAGCACTGGAGCTCTTTGGAAAGTGATCACACTCTCCAAATTTTGACAAAACCTGAATCTGACTTTTTTTTAAAAGTCCGAGCTGTCAGCTGTCATTCAACCCGAACTTCTATAGGCATTAGATACAGTGTCAGATGCATTTTACGTGTGTTTTAGCACTCTAGTCCAGGGGTGTCCAGAGGCCTGAATCCACCTGGCAAAGACTCTGATCCGGCTTACTGGATGTCTTTGGAAAACGCAAAAGAGGGCCTAAACTTTTGGATTTGTAACTGTATATTTAGGAGTAACACCAAGGTAAAAGATAAGCAATTAAATGACAGAAAAGTACCAGGTTTTTCACCATTTACTATAGAAATGTCAGTTTGGGGATTTGGTTTTTAACAGTGGTTTCACAATTAAAAAAAATAAAAAAAACAATCTGTGAATTAATAAGAACTTTCTTTGTTATAATTACAGGACAGGATGGGCAATGAAATACCAGAATTTCTTTGGTAATATTTCTCACAGTTAAGCCCAAAGAGTGATGCTGACAGATTTCTTTATCTTTAGCTGTCTTAATTGAAGCAATTTATGTTATATTAAGATATGTCAGAGATTAAATTTGTAGTTGAACCTCTGTGCACTGACAGAAAGGGGGTGTTTCACTGGTCTGGCCCACTGGAGATCAAAGTTGGCTGTAAGTGTCCTACGATGTGAAATTAGTTTGACATCCCTGCACTAGTCATAGCGGTTTTAAGGAGAAAATTAGCAAACAGGAGTGTATAAGGCTGGTTTTGGTTAAAACACTTCACACCACAGATGTACCAGAGATTTAATGAATGGAAACCCTGATTACTCATAGGTGAAACCACTGCCTTGCACCAGTTTAACACACGTGCCTTGTAACCAGAGAAAATATTTTGGCAACTGAGGTAGATGAAGGAAGTTCTGAACCTGGTAAGAGAGAAATGACATGAGAACATGTGAAGTGGCAGAAATACCACTGCTTAAAGTGGCACAGTTGTAGAACTATCTCAGCTATGGTGCCCAACCAGTTTAGGGGAGCTCTGTGTCAGTATTGTCACCTTACTGGGTAGAGAGCAGCTTCAGAACAGCAGTCTTTATAAACGGCTGGACAGAAAAAGTTAATACTGCAGGATTTTATTAACATCTGAGTGATTACGCTTAGATCGTCTTCTCCTTTGAAACCTGGGAAGCCAACAGGGATACAGTTAAGTGAGAGACTAAGGGGAGAGCAAAAGACAGAACCAATCTAAACAACAGAGGAATGTTCTCAGCTCGAGCTGCTGCTCGAACTGCTGCTCCCTGCTCTCCCACTTGCCTACAATGGTATGTGTAATTACTCCACAATTAAAGTGCCTTTGCTCGTCTGTGTGTGGACCTCGCAGTGCCTGGTGACCACACTCAACCTTGTCAACAATGTGGCCTGGACACACCAGGCTATTTGACATAAGTGAGTCGGTGAGTGACAAAATGAGGACAGGGTTAAAAAGTAAAACAACATTTCCCTTTTAGATGATGATGCCGCTGCAGGAAAAGGCAGCTGTTCTGATCGCTCTCTTGCAACAGGTCCACCTGCTACAATTTTACAATTTCAGCTCTATTTGAACTAAATTCTTCCCTTTTGTTTCAGATCTTTCATGTCATCTACCTTCATTTAAAAGTCTATTTTTGTTACTCCTTCCTTTCTCTTTATATGACATGTCCTCTGCTGTCTCATTTTCTTCGCTTACTCTAGTCTGACCACAAGAATGCAGGGTGACTGTCGTTGCTCTAGTCCACGCATGCATAATAATCACTGGCCCTGACAGGCACACTGTAAATCACACTGATGCACATGCACACTATCAAACAAGCAAAAACATTTAAGACCTCAACAGTTGGCATTTGGTTTCATTTTAAGCATAACAGTTTTTAAATGAACCCTCATCCACATGTTTGCATATACTGTACACAACCATATACTCTTCACTTCCTTTCCAACATACATTTATTGGGAGACTAGTTCTATTTCTGCACATTTAAGCACTGTAAGAGGAAACAGACCAAGGGGGAAAAATACGATAAACATAAAGATATATATAGCTATTTGTGTGTATTTGTATGTGTTTTGTGGGAACTGCGGCGCAATTTCCACCCATAACTGGGCTTTTCCTATGCAGTCCTCCTAAAGGTGCCATAGTCCGCATTGCTTGTTAAATTCAGTAAGTAATGAGAGAGCAGCTGGCTTCTCTTTCATTACATTAAAAAAAAAAAAAAAAAAAAAAGGCATTGCTTAACATATAAATAAAAATACCAAGAAAAAAATTTAAGTATGTCTTTTTTTCCCTCAAGTTCATTTAATTACTGGAAAAAGACCAAGTCTACATTTAACAAGCCAACCCTAACTCACTGGTCCAGTTTCAACAATCATTAGTATGTTGGAAATACAAATGAGTTCCATTGCAATCATATCAAGAATTTCTTTTCACACAGAGTTTATCTTGTAAACAAACAAAGAAGCTATCCTAATCCCTTGCGTGCAGTTCATACAATAGTGGCTAAAATGCCTACAGACAGCATTTTAACATGCAATTCTGTCTCTTATCTTAACTTACAAAGTCAGTAATTTCATAAGACCATTTAAAAATACAAATAAACCAAATTCACATCTGTAATATTGATAAACCATCCAAATGAACTTCCACATAAGCACCTGAGAGGTTAAAAGTCATATAATCATGCAAAGGAAAATGTACAGCAGCTACCAATCTGGTGACCTGCCTGGCAGTCCCATTTAGTAGCAAATATGAGATGTATTTCTAGCTTTCCCTCAAAAGGGAAAGCAGAAAAAGGAATCTGCAGATGCAGCCAGAACTCCAGCATGACACGACTCAGCCTTATGAAGATGGTAAAAAAATGCAGCTGGGCATGCCTGGTTTTCTCTCATCTGAGCTCTCACTTCTTTCCCTCTTTTGGACTGTCTTCATAGAACTGAGGCTAAGAAAGTCATCTACAACTTAAAATCAGACTGAAAGTTAGCTGACGAGCTCCTTAAAAATTGAAAGGCTTTATTTTAAAGGACCCAAGCTCATACAGAGTCCATCCCTGCACATCTTAATGCTGAGTGTCCTTAAGCAAATACACTGAAGCTCTACCAGCAGCACCAGAGCCGTTTGTGAACAATATAAAAAGAGAGGCAGGGAAAATTTGCCACTAGACTCAAAGCCACCATGTCAGTCTTCCTGGTATGAAAACGTGTGTCATCTTGGTTTGCGGTTCTGTTCAGACAACAGCAGGTTATTTAGCTTGATTACAATGTTGGCAAAATCAGTGAGGTCCACAAAGTCCGAGGTGATGATGTTGACTCCGTCCACCCCTGGCCTCTGAGCCTCAACCCAGGACATGATGGTTGGCAGGTTTCTAGAGCCAAAAAGGAAGAAAGTCTGTATCAGCAAGCAAAGCATTACGGCAATTATTGTTGCACCGAACATCCTGCTATTTAAATTTGAATCAAAACCAAATTCATGACCTTGCAAATACACACAAAAAATATCCACTGCCAAGGTTTTGTCTTTTAGTTTTATAGTTATGTCTACAACACTGTCAAAAATCTAATCAGTAGTTCCTTACTTAACTGTTTCTATTTCTGCCAGATTTCATTAAGAGCTGTTGACTGACTTTTGAGATATGTCACAATGTGGGAGAAAGTGGACATATTGGAGAAAGAAAATTAAAGGGACGGACATTTTTGTCCATCTGTCAGGGAGACAGTGCTTTGCCCCCATTCAGAATCAATGCTTTATATATTTTAGTTCCTGGCATAGACACAAACACAGCGATGCTGTAGCCGTATCACTTCTAACACCCTCTGATTCTTCACTATGTTTCAGTCACCAGCAGAACAAAACCAGGAAGTCACATTGTTTATCCAGCAGTGATAAACAATCCCATTTCCTCGGAAGTGCAAAATTAGGCTACCTCCTGTCTCGCCGTAGTGTCTGTTCAGAAGTTTTATACCCTGATATTGGTGCCCAGTGGCAGATGTAAGGGCATAGAGAGTATAATACCCGTACATCAAGTCAAGACTTCCACTGATGATAAAAAAGCCAGATGACAGCAAACAAATAGTGAAAATCATATGCCTTTGCTTACGAAGAATACAATCTCTTAAGAGTTATGAAAAGTTTTGATTTATGCTTTGTGCACTGTTTTTCCCCCCGATTCAGTCAATATAATGATAGATGCAAAACATGTTCTTATAACTTACTGTGTTACAGGATGTGCTCTAAGATCTGCAGTGTTTCTTGCAATGTAGTTTTTCAATATTTTTAATTCAATTCAATTCAATTTTATTTATATAGCGCCAAATCACAACATAAGTCGCCTCAAGGTGCTTCATTTTTAGAATTTCTTCTTTTTCTGGCCTTTTAAGGCATGTGCAAAGCCAGCGTTTGACTTTGTTCCATGCATTTCATTAGCACCATTAACTCTACTGACCTCTACTGGCCACAAACTATAATAAATGAATGAAGATGAGCAGTAGAGGAAGCAGTTATTCTTGAGATTTTTTTCAGAGTTGTTATGTTAAAACTGTCATACAAATATGATCCATGATTCCCTCTACACCATCCAATCGCAGTCACGGACCTCTCCACCAGGTAGCTGCGCAGGCCCCAGAGCAACCCCTTAGCCACAGTGTTGACAGTGGGAGTGAGGATGGCCTGGGATACATGGAAGGAACCCTGCTTGTCTCTTTCCTTCAGCGTAGTTTCCAGGAACTAGAAGGCAGAAATTTGAATGAATAAATCTCATGTGAAGAGAATGCATTTAAATATCTTTAGTTAGAAAAAGAACAAAATGGAGACCGCAAGAGATAAAACACGATTATTATTTTCTAACCTCTATGAGCTTGATGGGCTCAGTGGTGTTTGCCCAGGGAGCAGGGATCTTGTTGCCAGGCCACATGACAGGAACGCCTTGGGCTGAAGGATGATGGTAGAACACAATCACCTGTCAAGAGAAAAAATAAATAAAAGTTGGTGATCAGATGTCTGCAGACAAAAAGACTTCAGGCGAGTTCTGTGATCCATTTTGCAGTGCAAAACATAAAGTACCCAAAAATATCCCCCCCCCAAACCAATGACCCTAGCATGGTGAAACACCTGACCTCAAAGTTAGTGAATGATTACAGATAACTGAGCATTCATGGTGGTATCTGCATGTTTCACCCTTACTGGAGATTTAATATTCAGCAGGAAATCTATGTTGTAGCTACGTCATAACCACAAACCCCTCTGAAGCCCTATGCCATGGCCTACGAGGTAACCTCTGCACCTCCCTAGAAACATAAGTACACGTTGGGTCGACACAGTCCACAACTACGACCACAACAATGAGCTGGGAGTGAGCAGGTAAAAAAGTCCCAGCATTTTGGGGTTTTTGTTTCTATCAGCCGTATTCAAAACACTGGGACAGGACCACAAGGTAACACAATTCACCAAACACAAGCACAAACACCAGCAACGATGTGCGCCACTGATGTGTCTACAAAGAGTCCTCGCAGAAGTCTAAATCTGGGCTTATGTGTAACTGGAAAAATATCTGACCAGAACAGTCTTCATCCACAGTGACAGAAGAAAAGTCAGAAGAAGTTTGAGTTGTGGGTTTCTCATAATGCCAAAAAAGAGTGAGGAGGAAAGCTGCCCTTTTCACCTACAAACTGTGCACTTTGTGCTCTACTCTCACTGTCTGCCCTGCACTTCATCTCCTCGTTCTTTGCCAACTAAGCCAGTTACAGATTAGGGTCATGGGAACAGGAATGATAGTATCTGAACATAAACATGCACTGACTGTAGTAATGTAATGCAGATGCAGAAGTACTCACACCTTAGCTGGAGGTAAGAATATGAAAGAGTAATATCGGAGACACCAAAAGACAAAGAAAAATTGAAACATTTTTAGCTACAAAAATCTGGAAGGATAAATGTAGGTTAGTTTATGAAACAAGTGCTAATAGGATGATACTTGCCACTAATTCTTGCCCTGGAAAATCACAGTTGGAAGGGATTACCTGTGCACAGAGGTCACGCTAACACTACTCGCTACACGAACACCTGTCTATTCCTTTTACTTGTAGGTGTACACCACATTTCAAAGGTTTGTGGAAGTCACTTAATATGTGCTTTTTATAAATATCAAACTGATTAGAGATAGGGCACCCTGGTGGTTAGCACTGTTGCCTCACACCAAGAAGCTCCTGTTCAAATCCAGCATCTGGTCACAAACTTTGGAGTTTTTATGCTCTCACCATGTCTGAGTGGGTTCTCTCCAGTTAGTGGGTTTAGGTTAATTGGTAACTCTAAATTACACATACCCACCTCCCTGTGATAGTTATGCAACAGTTCCAACCAGGGTGTACCCCTGTTGGAGTCAGAACAACATGTGTGCTTATTACTTGGAGCATCTCACCATGAGTCCAAGTTTTGAGGAAATGGATCAAAAAGATGAAAATCTGTGAAATGTGGTAAAAGTGAAGGTGCTGGAGGACTGCTTGGAGTCACGTGACTTAAGGAGATCATGAAAAAAAAACTATCACTCCATTTTGCAATACCTTGCCATAGCCTGTGACACCACGTACTTGGAACCACTTTCCTCCTCCAAAAGGCCAATGACCCAGATATAACTCCAAATTGCAAGAACTATTTAAGGAATAAGTTAGCTGACTGTCTGCACAGTGAATGAATCTCAGCCCTGCTGAGCTGTCATGGGTGCAAAGAAAAATAGCCAAAAGAAAAGTACATGAAACCAGTCCCACTAGTGGCAGCGCCCTAATAAGGTGTAGGCTGAAATGTTCCCAGATGACTTCTGTGAAGGCCAAAAGCCTGCAAGGCTATGATTTCTAAAGATGGGAGATTATTGGAAAAAGCAAAGCTCAGTTTTTTGTTTTTTAAATTGTTGTGACTTATTTCTGTTCACTCTGCCACTCATATAATGAATACAAGTATGATATTTCATGAAAACATTTGACAGATACATTTACCTGTTGCTACATACAACAAGCACACAAACATTTTTGCAATAAAGGCCGTCAGTACTGATGCAGTCTGATCGCACCTGGTATTTCTTCTCCCAGAGATAGTCCAGAGTGACGTTCTCCACCGTACAGTTATTGCACAGTTTGCTGCCAAATACTTCTTGGAGCATGCTGATGAGGTAAACGTGGTGCTCTGCCTCCATTGCATAGTAATGGTTAAAGTCCAGGAACACCACCTACATAAATTAAACATCAAACATAATCAGTTAGTAGTGTAAATGTAGCTCATTTATTTACATGTTTTATGTTTAGAAATTTTTAAAATGTGCTTCTCACCTCTTTCCTGTGTCTGCCCAGGAAGGAGCTGATTTCTAACAGGCCATCCCTCACCTTTGTGAGAAAACAGGGTGAAGAGTCAGAGATCAGGATACAATTTTACAAATCTTAAAGTCTCTCAGTCATGAACTGATGCAGAAAGGCTACTGGTTTTTTTAAAAGTCAGCATATTAGAACGCCAAAGAGCAGCTTAAATATTTTAGTGAGTGCGGCACTGCAAAACTCCACCAAAATATTTCACAAAATAAAGGTTAATAGAGTCAAATATCAACCTGTATACAGTTACAGCTGCTAATGCCACTGACATCAAAAAATCTTGAATATGCATTTCTTTATTAAATATTCTTCAGTCACATGGTCAAGTTATGACAGAATCTTTAATCAAAGAGTTCCTCGTGTAGGGAAAAGAATCACCCATCTTTATAGCTAAACGCTACCCTCTGATCCTTGCTTAAGGTCATCTCTGCCCACTATTAGCAACATCAACTGCAACACAGTACTAGAAGAAAACAGTTACTGTTCATACTGGGAGAAAATGAAAGCTTGTATTCAAATGTCATTTTAGCATTCTAGGACTGGAGCTGGCACAAAAGCATTCAGCACAGAAGGAAAATATCAGATTGTGACAGATTAAAATGAAAAATGTAACACATAAAAGTAAATGAGGGAGACCAGCTCAACAGTCACAATAACAACCCAAAACGGCAGTAAAAGTTTACTCCTCCGCACACCTTGTGTCCAAAGAGGCCATGAATGAAGTAGATTTCATTTCCAGGCTCGCCTGGTTTTGCGGACACCCTGAGGTCAAAGTAGCGAATTCCTGCATCCAGCTGCTCCTTAAAAGTCAGGTTCTGGCGACACAGACCACATCACATTATACATAATAAGAAGCTGAGAAACACAGACACTAGACTGTAAAACACAGATCTGAAAAATGTATAATTTAGGCTAATTTGTGTGTGTGTGTGTGTGTGTGTGTGTGTGTGTGTGTGTGTGTGTGTGTGTGTGTGTGTGTGTGTATTGCAGTGATTTTGAGTCCAGTACCTGTGTCATGGACCACCTCACCATGACTTTCTTGGCTAAGACACTGAACATGGTAGCCAGATACTTAACATAAACCTTTTGATCGGGGCCCACGGGAGCATGCACATCCACCCAAAAAGTGAAAGAGTCGTGAGAGCCTGGAAAAAAGAGGGAGAGCTGCTGCTGGTGATGGAAAATTAAAAATTGAAATCGAAATCAAACAAGAAATCAAGGTGAAAAAAAGAGAGGATTCCGTCTGCATCAGTAGGTGATGAAGGAATCAGCAGTGTTTTCCCCCTGTTATGCTGGGCGTGAGGGTGGGGTTAGGTCTATTTTTAGTCAACATTACCACAGTACATTTTCCTTCTTCCGTTGACTAAATATCTTTACGCTTTGTGGACTCACCTGGCACCGCTAGATGTTTGAGGGGCATGGCACTGAGCTTGGAGGGGAGCGAACCCATCCAGTCGGCATGGACATTGCCGATCCCCGCAGGTCTGGTCTTCATATCGGGAGCCGCCTGTCAGCAATAACTCCCTCAAGAGACTGCTCTCTGGTACTGATGCACTCCTGGTGAAGGATTTCCATGCGCTCCCACCATGTAAAATCTACCATAGGTCATCTTGGACTGTCACGATCGATTTTGCGCTGCTTCGATACGCATGATTTCAAGTCCAACCGGTTTCGTTGCCGAGTATCTGGGAGGAAAACTGTACCTCGTTGTTGTCGGCTGGACTCCAACCGGCAAACCGGCATGCCTTGACAAAGCCAGCGGGCAGCTAACGATCGCCGCAATCCTCTTAGGGTGAAATCCCTCCTCCCCTCCCGGCAGGTTGAACACACTACCGCACTAGGCAAACCATGACATTTAGGACGGGTAGAATGCCACTAAGGCACTAATTAGCTCACTGATCACGTGACTGACCAGGTGACAAATTACATAAGTAACACTTGTAGTCTACTTCAATATTAAAAACCATTTTATTAATTTCTTTGTACGGATGAACTTGTTAGTTATGTAATTTGTTTTTTTATTATTAGAATATTATTTCCTACACAATAAACACTGAATAAACATTTTTAAACAACCGGTGACATTTTTGTTCCGCTAATGTGAGCTGTAGGCTATGTACATGCCATACGAAGTAGATTTGTACTATCTATGTACACTATGTATCTATGTCACTCTACAATCATACAGCGTCATCTACTGGTGCAGTCCTCGAATTGCGACCAAGTCGTGTTTTTTTCTCCTTATTCGAAAGAACATTCGTGTTTTGATAAAGTAGAATAAAATAAAGAAATAAATAATAAACATCTTGCGTATAGCTCTCACTTTAGTTATCTATTTCTAATTCAAAATATTTTACATTAAAAAGAGTCCACATTGAACAGGCATCCCTAAGTTACGCTAGAAATGTTAGCCTATTTGAATACAGGCTATTAACGCCATACCTCTCAAAGGACAACAAAGCCCATAAAGCATTGCGGGCGCCGTCTCCACACTTGGCAGCTACAAGAAGCGTCGCGGTTGTGTGTACGTTTCCATGGGGAGAAATTACGCTCACACGCACGCGCTCACCTTGTAACAGCTACGTTCGTTTTATCTGAAGCTATCAGCAGGACAGCAGCCGAGGAAGGGACTAACGACCCTACATGGTGAGTTTAAAAGTGAGGGGAAAAAAGAAGAAGGGACACACAAGAAAGAGTCTGCACTAAATGGTCGAGGAACTGTACTGTTAAGTCTGATATGTCAGCAACAAATGTCAACTCACCTTCTTTTCCCGATAAAATAGCCTGCTTAATATTTTTACATTAAGCAGTCTTAGCTTATATAGCTTTAGCTTTAGAGTAAAGGTAGTTGATTCGTTTCATGGAAAGACTGCTGGGGTTGAATGCGTGTGATAGCTGTTAGTTAACCAAAAGTTAAGAATTATGTGAGTAGAAGTATTGGTTTCTTTAACACTGCCTGTAGACGTGAGTTTTTAATATCGTCGACCTTGATTAGCTTTCTAATGTCACGTGGCCTGGATACATCTTAATTCCCTTTAAATCCCTTCACAACAGATCGCCATATGCGACTGAACCCTCCCCTTGTTTTGTTGCTTATTTTTACTCAGTGACAAAATGTGACATTACAGTGTCATATTTTGAAGGTCTTAGTTGTATCATATATTAATATTTTTTGTAATGATTAATATGTTACACTGGTTGCATAATGACTCCTTGAGGAAAAGTCAAATGGCCAGAGCAATTGTTTTCCAGTGTAATTAATTAGGGAGTCCCTATCGCACTAGCTATATAAAACTCTGTGTGCTTATCTCACAGCTTATTTTTCAAGCCACATTCTACAGAAAACATGTGTGATTATGATCCAGCTGCGCAAACTTGCAACCTACAAAAGAAGATAGCTGTGCGTTATTTCCGTGAAGAACACGCAGCTTGTTAGTTTCATTAAAGTACGCTGCTTAGCACACCTATTAGACCACCACCTGCTAATTTCTAAAATGGTTTTTTATGTTTCTATAATGGTTAATCCACTATTACAGAAACATCATTAAAGCACACACACTTTAATTAAAATGATCATTTTAATTCTAAATTATAATGATTGTCATTATTCATTCATTTTCAATTTACTGTTTTACAGAAAAACAGGGTGAAATAGCAAAGCACATTATTATTTTTTGAGTAAGATGCCATTTACAATTACAGTTATTTACTTGCATTCATGAAGAGAAAAATTTGTTTTTAGCTTTTGTGTTATGTATGATTAATCTCTGACTTCTCAGAGAAGTCCAGTATGCAGCTAAAATATGTTATATGTTATTTGCCTAATAAATAACAATTTTATTTTTAGGTTTTGGACAGATTTCTAAAATATTTTTGTGTTTACTTTGTTTTCTTGATGAAATGACAGGTCGTCTAATAAATTTGTTAGGCACTGTATATTAGTTGTAATTGTAAGTTTTTTGGGAGGTCTATATGGCTGAATGTACATCAGGCCAGTGATTACGATGGCCTATGGCGTCATTCAAATCCTCTTGCCAGGCAGGGTGCTTGGGCAAAGGTAGTGGATACCGGTAAGCATGATGGTGATGTAACATCCTATTTACATCCCTGTTGGCCTAATCTGACTAGGGTTGGCTTTGTCATCTCCCTTGGGTGGTCATGTTGAAGCCTCTAGTGTGACACACACCTAATCCTACCACTGAGGGAAAAACAAGAAGTGGTCTTAGCATGTCTTTGTTTTCGCATTGTTTAAAAATCCTGGTCGACAGAGTTTTTTGGCATGCTATTGGATTTATGTGATCTTTTGTGTTTGCGGTTGTATTTATTGCTGACAATTTTTCATGTTTTTCTGTCTCCTGGCTGTTAGTTCAACTGCGTGACCGAGATCCCTACCTTTTTACATGGATCAGTTACTGCAAAATGAGCTTTAAACTCCCAGGATTGGTTGACAAAGACAAACATTGGCCAAACTACGATCTTTTCTTTTGGGAAAAAAGAAGTGAATTCTGGCTGATGAAACAAAGACTGAACAATACTTGAAGGAAGAAGAAGGATATTTGATTGATGAATCGGCTGTGTTTTTCTACAGCCCATCTCACACAATAATAAAGTTAGCTGATAAAGAGGCTGATGAAACTGTTTTGAGTAATGATGAATCGCTACACCACCCTGAAGCAGCTGGGTGATGGCACCTATGGCAGTGTGATGATGGGAAGAAGCAATGAGTCTGGAGAGCTTGTAGCCATCAAAAGGTGAGGATGTTGCTCATTCTTTAATTTTTTGGTTGTCTCTCCCTATTCAGCCTTTATAACATATTAATATAATATTAATATTATGGGATTTATTGTTGTGGTGTCATGCAGCCCTATATTATGTACATATTTGATCAGCAATGAGTCTTAATAATGTCAAAATAAAATCACAATCTTGTTTGCACTATAGTAGATATATAATTAATGCTAACGTAGATCCCCTATTGCTACCAAAGAGCCTTTATACTCACAAAACATAGTGAAAAATCACATTTCTATCAAGTGTTTGTGTATCTGTTAAAGTTTTTACATGTAGATGTTGATTTTTTATTACTTTTTTTTTTTTCAAATTTGTGATGCAGAAAGAAATTGTTCCCTTTGAAATCAAAATATGACTGTTTTCCTTTTACGTCACAGCCTTTTTCTTTGTTGTTCTCTTTAATGTTTGTTGTGACACTACGAAACAGATGTGCTGTAAAGCTAGAAACCCCTGACCTGCCATCACCAGGACAAACAAACTACATTGCTTTGTTTCAGCAACATAGCAGCAGTGTTCAATAATAGATGCGAAACTGGGGACGTGTGTCCACTGGTTGATCATTTGGTTACCATGCAAGACAATACATGTGGTGACGGTGAAAGAGAGTGAAAGTAGAGGGGTGTGTCAGGTTGCTGACATTGTGGATAGATATCGGCTCATTCTGTAACTCTTATGTAATTCCAGAAGAAAGGACAAGTAATGTTGATCAGAGAACCCAAGCGTATAACAGCAGGTGTGTTGTTTTAAACAAACACACATTGGATAACAGTGAAAAAGCAGAGTAGGTCATCAGAATCAGAATATGTTTTCATTTTAATTTAAGTACAGAAAAATCTTGATTAGAATATTTATCACATTACATTCATCAATTTTCCAAGTTACTGATGGAGATGCACAGAGGAGTCTTGTAAATGCTGTAATAAGTAATAATAATGTTTATTAATAGATATGGCCTGAAAAGATTACATATGTGATGATCTGATAATAAGATGTATACATTCCTTAATGGTCTTCCATAGAATGAAGAGGAAGTTTTATTCATGGGAGGAATGTATGAACCTAAGAGAAGTAAAGGTAAGCATGGTAATATTAATACACCTGTTTGAAGCACCTTATAACAGCATTACTCGCAGACCACTGTTGCATAGATTGACCAATAGATAGATATGTTCACGCAAATGTAAATTGTCAAAATGTATAAGAGTACAATGGAAAATTAAAAGGTGGCATTCCACTACTACATTGATAATGCATTAAGAAAATCATTGATTCTGGCCACTTGAGGTATAGCGCCTTCAAAAAAGTGCTAGAAGCATTCCTCAGAGATTTTGGTCCATATTGACATGATAGTGTCACAGATCATGCAGTCTGGCTTTTCACATATGACCAATAATGCCCAGAGAACTGCCAAATATTTCCTCTTTCTGACCTTTCTCTGTAAACTCTGTAGATGGCTATATGGGAACCCCCCGGAGATGAACACTTTCTGAAATACTCAGATCAATCCATCTGGCACCAACAACCATGCCACGTTCAAAGTCACTTAAATCACCTTTCTTCCCCATTCTGATGCTCAGTCTGAACTTCAGCATTGAGTTCCTGCTATGGGACTGGCTGATTAGGTATTTGTGTTAACTATAGGCTGAACAAGTTTACCTTATAAAGTGAGCTGTGTTGAGTATAAATCAACATCTAATAGAAGCCAGGCTTACACACTTAAATGAAGCCAAGGAAGAGCAATTCTTGTTATAACCATGCACCAGTGGAAGTTGCTACACTTCATCAATTAGTACATTAACTATTTTGATATCTGTATTAAAAGTGTTCTTGTTATATACGAAAATTTTCGCATTACATGAGACAGTTTTTCTTATCTTTCCAAACATGCGTCACCCCAGTCGCTGAAGAAGCTGAACCACGCGAACGTGGTGAAACTAAAAGAGGTTATTAGAGAGAATGACCATCTCTACTTTGTCTTTGAGTACATGAAGGAGAACTTGTACCAGCTTATGAAGGACAGGTAAGAGAAGAAAAATCATGTTTCACAATACAAATGTTTGAAGAATTTGTTTAACACAGTTGTGTAGTGTCATTGCCAATTGGCCCACACACTGATTAACACCAGATTGATCTGATAGGCTCTAATGGTTGTTATTTAAGTCTGTCAATATCATCCTCTAAAAGCTTTGTAAGTCCTCTATATCAGGCTCTCTCTTGCAAACAGCTGCCACCTTCTCTGGGAGATGCCCTGATGTTTTTGCTAGTGTGAAAACCTCCTACAGTGCAAACTTGAGGTTTTTTATTTGCAAAAGCAAATAAGTCAAAAAGACATTTAATGTTTTAAAGCTGCTCAGATTTGTGGTCAAATATATTTATTTTACCGATTACTGTATAATGTAAGAAAGAATGGTGTTAATGTTATGTTGCTTTCATTAACTGGCTCATGGGAGGTATATCGATTTTATGTTTACAGAAAAAAATTGTTCCCTGAGTCAGTGATAAGAAACATAAGCTTTCAGATTTTGCAAGGCCTGTCGTTTATTCACAAACATGGTAGGTGTACTGTGTTTTCTTCATGACCTGAAAGCGTACGAGAGTGTGGGTTCATACTGCAAGATTCACTGACCATTTCAACTGTCAAAGGCATGTCAATATTTAAGAATCTCGCAAGCAAACAAGGCCATCATACATTAAATTATTTCAATCAACGATCAAAAACTCTTGTAGTATGTGAA